CAACTTACAGGAAGATTTAAATATTTTCTGGTTGACAATTGGTTGAATTTATCTAAAGGCCAGGGATCAACAGAAAGGAATGTCTGGGTTAAGATAAAGGAATGTGGAGACCCAAGTTCTTATTTGCAGAGGAAGCCTTGAGGTACGTGGCTTTAGAGAAAATAGGCTGTAAAACATTTCTTTTTTTTTTTTTTTTTTTTTTGAGAGGGAGTCTTGCTCTGTCGCCCGGGCTGGAGTGCAGTGGCCGAATCTCAGCTCACTGCAAGCTCCGCCTCCCGGGTTTACGCCATTCTCCTGCCTCAGCCTCCCGAGTAGCTGGGACTACAGGCGCCCGCCACCTCGCCTGGCTAGTTTTTTGTATTTTTTAGTAGAGACGGGGTTTCACTGTGTTAGCCAGGATAGTCTCGATCTCCTGACCTCGTGATCCGCCCATCTCGGCCTCCCAAAGTGCTAGGATTACAGGCTTGAGCCACCGTGCCCGGCCGTAAAACATTTCTTATCAGACTTAAAGCCTGTGTTGATGTTAATGCAGAAGAGGTGTAATGAGGCCCATCGGACCCCCACTTCCCATCATGGCCCAAACTAGTCTCTCAGGTTACATTTTAAAAGAGCCTTGACTGAGGAGGAAGTCCATTCAGATGGTTAGGGGAGCGGGGAGGAGCTTAGAATTCTGTTTTTGGTTTACAGTGACAACTGTAGTTGAAATGTGAAAGGCCCAGAGTAGCAGGAGCCACAGCAGTGTCCAGAGGCCCTCTCTGCTTTGCACTCTGACAGTCTGTAAGGCCCTGGAGAATGCAGACCCTGCCCGCTGCTCTGGCCCTCCCCTCCTGGCCACCCTCCACCCCACTGTCTTCTTTAGTTTCCTTCAGAGCAAGCACGTGCAACCCGCAGCTCTTGGCCAGCCTGTGGTGCCGGACAGCTTCGAATGCAGCCCAACACAAATTCCTACACTTTCTTGAAACATTATGAGATTTGGGGTTTTTTTTTTTTTTAGCTCATCAGCTATCGTTAGTGTATTTTCTGTGTGGCTCAAGACAATCATTCTTCCAGTATGGCCCAGGGAAGTCAAAAGATTGGACACCCCTAATTTAGAGCATTTACCTATAGCTGGGCCTTTCCTTCGACTTGCGTGTTGGCTTGGTTATTTACTGTCTCCCACGGTTGAATGAAATCTCTGGGAGTTTCCACGTCTCTGTTGTCCACGTCTTCACTCGTAACATCTAGCAGCGCATCAGGAGGCTACCGGGTGTTCCGCAAATACTCCCTGAGCTCGTTCATTCATCTCTTCAATTGCTCATTTCTTAATTCCATCTGTATTCAGTCCTACACTCTTTAATGAATGCCTGCTCTAGCCAGTGCATTAGAAGGAGCATTCTTAGTTGGCATGTGGGTATTAGAAATAAAACATTGTCTAAATTGAAAAATAGAAGCCGGAAGATGTTTCCGTTAATGATTTTGTGTCCACCTTTAGATTCTGCAAAGAACGCCTGATGCATAGGGCATCATCCCCAACGCAGAATTCTTCCTTTGGACAGACAACTCAAATAAAGTTCTCTTTGAAATGTTTGTTTCTGGATGAGTAGAGAACTCCGGATTGCAACAGCTGGTACTTGATGTAGAAATTTGTTCCCAAAATCACGGCTGTCGAGAGTGTAGAAATGAGAACACTCATGACAGCTGGTGGGTGGGAAAGTACAACGGTGTAGCTGCCTTGGAAAACAGTTTGTTCCTCAAAATGTCAAATGTAGAGTTCTCATATGGTCCAGTGATTCTACTCCTAGGTATACACCTAAGAGATAAAAATAGATGTCCCACCTAAATTTGTACGTGCATGTTCGTTCATAGCAGCTTTATTCATGACATCTAAAAGGGAGAGTCAACCCAGCTGTTCATCTACTGATGAGTGGATAAACAGGAACTGGTGTAGCCATAGGATGGAATATGATTCAGCCATAAAGAAGAGCAAAGTAGTGGTAGATGCAACAACATAGGTAAACCTTGAAAATAGGATGCTGAGTGCAAGAAGCCAGCCAAAGATCAATATTGCACGATTCCCTTTATATAAAATGTCAGAATAGAAAAGGCTGACAGCATGAAACTAGTTAAAATAAGAAAACCAGATGGGCACAGTGGCTCAGGCCTGTAATCCCAACACTTTGGGAGGTTGAGGCAGGCAGATCACTTGAGGTCAGAAGTTCGAGACCAGCCTGGCCAACACAGTGAAACCACGTCTCTACTAAGAATACAAAACTTAGCTGGGCATGGTGGCAGGTGCCTGTAATCCCAGCTACTCAGGAGGCTGAGGCAGGAGAATTGCTTGCACCCGGGAGGCAGAGGTTGCAGTAAGCCGAAATTGCGCCAATGCACTCCAGCCCAGGCAACAGAGAGAGACTGTCTAAAAAAAAAAAAAAGAAAGAAAAGAAGAACCATTAGATTTTAGAATATTAAATCAGTAATTTATAGATGATACGTCAACTTGGCAAAGGTCTTTGGTATGACACATAAAATGCCTGAAGTTTGGGAAACACCAAGATAAGGTTTAGGAAATTACATTAAGAATGTCAAATTATCTCAATGTTTGCTGTTTCCTTTTGTTTACATTTTGATTATTATTCTGACATGTGAGAGATACTAGGAAGCAAGCAGGTGTGACTTCAGCACCAGGCAGCAAACAGATGGCCACAGTTTACTTCTGGGACCCCTGCAAAGGTGGTGACTGTGTCCATGCCGTGTGAGCAGATTGGGATACAGAGTCCCCAAGTGTCGACATCTAAACCAAAAAGCCTTGACTCCGATTTCTGAGGAAATCTCCACCTTTATGTTTTCTGTGGGCTATTCTGGGCCCTTGGATGGTAACCACATTCCCTCATCGTGCGACATTTAATTGGACATAGAATTCTTTTGTGGAAGTCTGGGTTTTGTAGTCTATTTTGATAAGCTCGTCTGGGAACTGCTAGGAATGCGTGTCTGTATATTGAAAATGATTACTGTAATTTTGCATTATATCCCACTGTGAGAGAAGGGAGGGTCAGACAACTCATTCAATTTACAAAAGGGAAAAAAGGAGGCTTCTGCAGCTGATGGTGGTTGAAACAAGCCTGTTGCATTTTGAGAGTTACTTGCTGGTATTTAGGGCAGATAATTTTGTCTCAGGCTATTTGTCAGGTTATAGTAAAAATAGGCAGTGAGTAGGCAACACTGCTGTTCTGGGGTTCGATTCAGCATGACACCTCATACATGGACACCCTCAGTGGCATTGTCAAATGACATTTATGAATAATCTACATAAGATTTCAACAGAGCCATTTTAACCGGGCTTGCAGAGTTTTCCAGAAACAAATCCTTTAAGTCAGTGTTTCCTAAATATGTTATATGTATCATTGGTGATTGGAACATGGTGTGCGGAATGGGATATAGAAACCTTCAGAACCTCCTGAGGGCTTTGGGTTTGGGTTTATAGCCCAGAATGGCAGAGATAGATATGCCCAACAAAGGGCCCTGGCACCTACCCGAGGAAGACATCACTAATCAATCCTAGCACGCCTCGCGCCTGAGCCCAGATTCCTTCTCAGGATCCAGCTCTCGAGAGAAGTCCCTATGAATTGATTTTCCATTGACGAATGTGGCGAAACCTACATCTTATTTACATGACAGTCTGTCGGGAGACCAGAAAAGTAGTAACAACTAGAACATGGTGACAATGAGGCACAAATTTGTACCAGATGGTTTTACACATTGAAAACAAACACATACACACAACATAAACCCGCCTCAGTTTCTTTCTCCTAGCATCAGAATCCTACTATCAAAGGTAGCATTATGCCAGAGGCCATACAATGCCAGCTCTTGGGACAAATACAGTCCTAACACTTGCCTTGTTTGACTAGCACACTACTTTATGGATTCCTGCTAGTGGCAAATGTTGAGCATTAGGACAAATACCTAATGCATTTGGGGCTTAAAAACCTAAATGACAGGTTGATAGGTCCAGTAAACCACCATAGCACACGTTTATCCATGTAACAAACCTGCACACTCTGCACATGTATTCCGGAACTTAAAGTAAAATTAAAAGAAAATGGATGGATTTCACCCAGTACCTTGATTTCCTGCTTTTCTTGACATATCAGATGCTGTAGAAGGACAGAACCAGCATTCCCACAAGGGCATAATTAGGTCTCATGAAGTGGAGGCTGCTTCTTTTGAGTCAAATATGCTCATTCCAGTTTGCCTGGCTCTCAACATCCCCAGGTATATTACACCAGATGCAATGCCACATCACTTTTCTGGGCCTTTTAAGAATTTTTTTTCCCTTGCTTACCTAGTCATAACAGTACATGATAAAGTGCCACTTCTGTTCAGGAGTCACAAGAACCTGTGAATAAATCACCTGTTTGTAGATTGAATTATATTACGGATGCACAAGATAAGAGGATAATGACGTACATTCCTGTAACTGGTGTAATTTCACTGTAGCAGCGTGAGTGTGGGGAGCAGGAATTGTATTTATAGCATATGCCCCGACAGTTCTTAATTGAGCATTATTTCTGTTGATAGCTTCAGTGCTTGCAGATAGACTTTTTGAGGCAGCCCAGAGAAAGGCTGGTATAGGCAGGGATTTCATCCACCACTAACCTTGGTGGACCAAAGGCAGAGTCCAACAACACTAACTCCTTTTGTGACATTGAAGACATTGCTTGTGCACCAAGCATTTTCTCATAAAACTCACGGGCTTGGCTAGATCCTGAAGGCCTGGGTCCCTTGAGAAACACATACTAAGAGTGTGAATTTGGAAGTCCAGTCTTCTTTTGGCAAAAGGGAACATATTTGTATTTGCCAGGTCTGGTGAGCTTAGGTCTTTCAAAGTCCTTATTTTCCACTTTCTGTTTGTGGAGTAGGTGGTTTGGAGGCCACCGTTTGTTTTCACTTGTTCCCCTTTCCCTGTAACCACAGAGATAAACTTTTCCTATTTGCTGCTTTATGCATTGAGTTTATGACACCTATTTTTTTTTTTATTTTTGTGATTTCTATTCCTAATAGAAACTTTCCTAAATAATTTCCAAGGAAGTTTGGAAAATTCTGCAGACCTCTCTCTCTATGGTTTTCCCCTTGAAAATCTGTTTATCCTGCCAAAATGTTTTTCTTTTATGTGATTAATTTGCATGTAAACCCCAAGCATCTAAACTTGTGGCCCCAGCATCTGTGCTAATGGCACCTAACAAACAGAACTTCTCTCCAGCAGGGTCAGGGGTGAAGCTAGAGCTGGAGCCAGAAGCTGAGCGGCACCATATGCTGGGCTTTCACCAGATTATCAACTCACAATCCCTTCTGGGGCACCGTCTGATGAATATGAAATGCTTGGATTTTTTCCTAAGCTAACGAAGGTTGGTGGTACTTTTCAAATCTCCCAAGTCAAGGGATAAAATGGTGAAATAAAGACAACATATAAATAAGCATATGCTAAACTTGGTATCAATCATCCTGGGCCTGGGATGCTCTGAAATTTTGAAAAGTGATATGGTTTGGCTGTGTCCCCACCCAAATCTCGCCTTGAATTGTACTCCCATAATTCCCACGTGTTGTGGGAGGGACCCAGTGGGAGATAATCTGAATCATGGGGGAGGTTTCCCCCATTACTATTCTCCTGGTAGTGAATGAGTCTCACGAGATCTGATGGTTTTATCAGGGGTTTTCGCTTCTGCATCTTCCTCATTTTCTCTTGCTGCCACCATGTAAGAAATGCCTTTTGCCTCCCGCCATGATTCTGAGGCCTCCCCAGCCATGGGGAACTGTGAGTCCAATAAAACCTCTTTTTCTTCCCAGTCTCAGGTGTGTGTTTATCGGCAATGTGAAAATGGACTAATTACAAAACGGAATAATTTTCTTGGGATATATTTGTCTATAAAGATAGAGTGAGGCATTATTGAACATATTTTGGGCAGGGCTCTTTCCTAGGGGAAAAGATCAACACTTCCTGGTTTTCTCATAAAGGTAGTCATCCAACGGAATCCCAAAATACTGCACTCTGCACTCTTGTCCTCTAGTGGGGGTGTGGCAGGTCAAATGAGGGCAGGGTGTCAGGGAAGCCTGTTGTGAAGGTTTCCGCATATCCCAAATTAAAGTGAGCAGCAGTCACTTTTTGTAGTTCTATGATGAAAGCAGCCAGTGAATATGTTTGTCTCCCAGACCCCCAAGAGAACTGTTGGGAAAATATAATTAAAAATAAAATATCCTGCTAACCTAGAAAACCCTTCCACAGAATTGGAAGAGAAAGAAAATGCTTGTATCATTAAATAAGCATTAGACCAGACTGTGATGCTCATCGTAGGAAATCTGAGAAGAGACTACAAAGACAGAAAGAAATCTCAGCCTTTTGTACAGCCAGGCAGATACAACCTATTGCATACATTTTCTCAAGATAAATAATAATTGGTCCTCAAGTGACATTTAACAGAATCTCTGGTCACACATAGTTCATCCTAAATTCTCCTGGGAATTCAGGTCGCCTCCTATGTTTGCTGATTGTCTTTATCTAAAGGCAAAATAAATTTTTCCTAGCTATTCCAGGAGGCAGTTTGCAGCTTGGAACTAGGAGCTTACTGAAGTTAGGCTGCTACCCTCCTATGGAAGCTGGGAGAGAGGGGCCCTGGCTTCCTTCATTATTATATTACCAAGTGATGACACTTCAGGTCCTTGAGAAAGACATGCCTCAGTGGTAAAGTTGGCAAAAGCCTTACCTAGATTTTTAATAAATTCATGTGCATCTCAAAGGAGCAGAGACAGAATTCAAAATTACAAGTTTTTTTCATGTAAATGCTTTAAGAAAAAGGAAAGTCTGTATTTCTTTTTGCACTAGGAAAAATTAATATATAATTTTTTTATTTTTAATTTGTATTTTCCAGTATGGAACCCCAATTTGTCTACTAAGGACCATGTATTTTGTATGTATCTGTTTCCTCTGTTAAAGTGGATCTTCTTAGGGCAAGAATGTATCTTTATTTACTATGTATTCTCAGTGCTTTCTTTTTTTGTGTTGTTGTTGTCCTTGTTGTTGTTTTTTTGTTTTTGAGACGGAATTTCACTCTTGTTGTGCAGGTTGGAGTGCAATGGCGCAATCTCAGCTCACAGCAACCTCTGCCTCTCAGGTTCAAGTGATTCTCCTACCTCAGTCTCCCAAGTAGCTGGGGTTACAGGCACGCACCACCATACCCGGCTAATTTTGTATTTTTAGTAGAGATGGGGTTTCCCCATGCTGGTCAGGCTGGTCTCGAACTCCCAACCTCAGGTGATCCACCCGCCTCGGCCTCCCAAAGTGCTGGGATTACCGGCATGAGCCACTGCACCCAGCCTATTAGTGCTTTCTACAGCTGCTTTGCCATATAAGCAAACCAGCAACAAGCAGAGTTTGGTTTTTTAATGGATCAAATTTTAAATATTATTTTTAATTGACAAATAATAGTTATATATTTCTCTCTGTATACATACACACACACGCGCACACACACATACATATGATGCAGTGTGATCTTTTGATATCTCTATGTACATTGAGGATTGATTCAGTCAAGTTAATTAGTATATCCTTCACCTCACATACTTATTCTTTTGTGGTGAGCACATTTCAAATCTACTCTTTCAGCAATACACACTATGTTATTATTAACTGTAGTCCTCATGTTGTACTATAGATCTCTAAAACTTATTTTTCCTGGTTAAATGAAACTTTGTATCCTTTCCCCACCCTGTGCCTCCATGCTGTGGTAACCATCATTCTACTCTCTACTTCCGTGAATTCAACATTTTTAGATTCCACGTGTAAGTGAGATAATGCAGCATTTGTCTTTCTATGTCTGGCTTATTTCACTTGACATAATGCCCCCCAGATGCATCTATGTTGTCATAAATGACATAATTTTCTTCTTTTTGAAGGCTGAGTGGATATCACATTTTTTTTACGCATTCATCTGTTGACAGGCATCCAAGCTGATTCCATATCTTGGCTACTGTAATTAGTGCTGCAGTGAACATGGAAGTGCAGATAATTTGGAGGGAACTTCCATACTATTTTCCATAATGTCTAATTTACATTCCCACCAACAGTGTACAAGGATTCCCTTCTCTTGCCAAGGTTATTTGTTCCAGCAGAATACAAATTCAACAGAGTTGAGAGACAATCTATAGATTAGGAGAAAATCTTTGCAAAGCATAGATCTCATAAGGGGTTAATATCTAAAATATACAAGGAAATCAAACAACTCGATAGCAAGAAGACAATCTGGTTTAAAAATGTGAAAAATAAAACCTGAATAGGCATTTCTCCAAAGAAGACATACAATAGATAACAGGTATATGAAAAACTGTTCAACATCACTAATCATCAGGGAAATGCAAATTAAAACCTCAGTGAGATATTACTTTACACATGTTAGAATGGATATTATTAAAAAGATGAACTATAACAAGTGTTGGTGAGGATGTGAACAAAAGGAGACCTCTATACGCCACTGGTTGCAATGTAAATTAGTATAGCTATTATGAAAAACAGTTTGAAGAGTACCCAAAAAACTAAAAATAGAACTGCCATACGATCTAGCAACCCCACTACTAGGCATGTACACAAAGGAATTGAAATCAGCATGTTGAAGAGATATCTGGATTCTCATGTTCATTGAAGAATTATTCACAATAACCAAGACATGAAATCAACCTAACCATCCATCAGTGGATGAATGGATAATGAAAAGGTGGTATATATGCATGATGAAGTACTATTCAGTGTCTAAAATGTAGAAAGTCTTGTCATTTGCAAAGACCTGATGACCTGGGAGGACTTTATGTTAAATTGATTGGCGAGGCCAAAAAGGCAAATGCTGCATAATCTCACTTAAACGTGGAATCTAAGTAAGTTGGACTCAGAAGTAGAGTGTATTATGGTGCTTATCAGGGGCTGGAGTGAGGAATAGGGGCATGATTGGGGAAATGTTTGTCAAAAAATACATTTCAATTACAAAGGAGGAATTTGTTTAAGAGATTTATTGTACAACATGGTGACAACAGTTAATTACAACGTATAATATACTTGAACATTGCTGAAAGAGTGGATTTTTAAGTGTTCTCATCACAAAAAAATTATGTGAGGTAATGCATATATTAATTACCTTGATTTAGTCATCGGACAATGTATACATATTTCAAAATACCATGTTGTATGCCGTAAATATATGTACTTTTTATTTGTCAACTAAAAGGGTGAAGTTTTTTTGATAAAAAGAACATTAATTTTGCATTTAGATGGCATGAGTATGAATCCCAGTTGTCTCTTACTAGCTCTGTACCTTGGCTGAATGTAATTTGTTTCATTATAATACAAAAACAGAGTACTTACCTTCCAAAATTATTGTGAGGATTCAATGCATATAGTATGGATATAGTACAGAGCTTGATTCAGTGGCCCAGTCTCTGAGATCCATACCCGGTACATGGTAAATACTTGATTCAATGGATCAGGTTCTGAGAACTATACCCAGTACATGGTAAACATTCCATGCAGAGTAGCAAGTATTACCCTTACTCTATTTCCAGAGGTTACTTGAATTTAAGACAAAACCAAAAATATATGTGGGTGATGCCTCAGTATGAAGACTAAGCAATCACTTTTCAAAACTCTGTAATAAATACTAAATATTTGATTCCAATGAAACTGGTTATTAAGTTTGTTTCTACCTAGTTCACATGGGTTTCTAAAGATTTGTGCCATTTCTTGTGTGTGGGTGAAAAACATGCCATTTGATTCTACAACTTTTCTTCCTTTTCTTCTTTCATACGTAGATTCATAGATTCCTTATACATGGATTCTCAGATTGAAACTGGAATCATGAAAATGGATTATAATTCATGGTCAGGCTTCCTTCCATTGAGACAGATTGATCTGGTGTCAAACTCAGTGTGGAAGGAGGTGGCCACATGGATTGAATTATTGATTCTCTTTTAAATAGAAAACAAAGCAATGAATGTTCTTATGGAATCCATAGATGGAAAGAGGCTTTTTTCCAAAGAGTTTCTAGTTGCCACTGTTGCCCTAGAGAGTAATGTAGCTGTGCTATTTATCAGAAAAATTATTAATCTTTTTCAAGATAATATGTGTGGACCATCCCGCAGTGTGCATGAAGTGGACAGGCATGACCCATCTGCCTTCACTGTCCATGCTCACATTACCTTCAGTTCTTTTCTTACATTAGAATGTTTTTCCTTGACCCTCTTGGAGGTCAGGAAGCTTTAGAGTTATCATATAGCTTGATGGTGGGCTTCTGACTCTGACATTTTTTTCTATGTGTCTATTTTCTTCCCATCCTCTGCACTGCATACATATTTAATGTTTGATGTG